TATATATATATAAATCAAAATTAGAAATATTTATATATAAAAAATTATATTATTTCTTTTATTTTATCTTTTTTAAATTTGTTTATATTTATTTTTTTTAAAAAAATAAGAGCGAGGACGGGGACAGGACAGGGAAACCCAAACCCTACTGGAGGTGGGAATGGATACTCAAATTTTACCCCTAGCGAGTGTCGGAGACAAGGGCAGGAGCAATTTAAATTTGCAAGGACAGAGACGGGAAACGTAAAACCCGCCCTTGCCCTGCCCTTGCCCCGGTGCCATGCCTAATTTTAACATAGATATAAAAGGGAAGATTTGTGCAGGTGCACGGGTCAACTAACTAGGTATTTTCTTAAATGAATGAACAATAACAATTAATACTCATTAATTCATATTATTTTCTCGCCGATTGAAATTTTAAATGTAAATATTTATGTATGCATCAACTTACCTGTTTTCACTGTTTCACACCCCACCACAAGTATCTTGGTTCTTTTTTCATTGGATTCCTCCTAATCATGTTTTTTATGGTTATGAAAATACTCTCCACCGACGGAAGCACAAACAAAAACTAATCTCATGATAAAAAGAAAATTGAAAAGAATAATGAAGAATCGCAAAGGGGGTCTTATTTTGATTGTAAGGTGATTATGTTAATCTATTTTATAATAATTTATTATTACAGAGCATATAATAAAAACATAGCGTATTGTATAAAAATTAAAGCATGCGTTGTAATTAAACACAGCAAAATGTTTTCATACGTAAAATATATAGCTACTGTCAGTTTTTCCGAAACAGCGAAACTAGTCATAGGAAATTTTATCAGGTGACTTCATTTAAGATCGACATGTATATCAAAAGTTAGCAAAAAAAAAAAAAAAAAAAAGAAAAGAAAAACATGCATACATTAGTTTTCCTCAAAGCGCCGTAGCACAGACTCAGCAAAGCTTTTTTGCCTACAAATGATTATGATAATCAATGAGGAAAGTAATATTATTTAAGTTTCTCAAAAATGAAAAATGTATTAAGAAATCTAGCATGAAATGACTGGTTTGTACAAGCAAATTCTAGCAGACAGAACTAATTACAAAATATGATAAATTTTAATATAATATTTAACAAATCCTATATGGAAGGTAGATACATGAAATGCTGCCTACGCTAAATTTCACGTACAATATTCTGTTGACGCGTAGCAATATTCTGTTGTTTCCATTTTTTTGTTTTTAATAATAATTACACAAATGTCACTTAGTTTTCACTTTTCAGATATATTAGGTAAATTATGCTCCCTACTACCCTCCCTTCTATTTTAAAAGATTACATCCCTTCTCTAGTTCTCTCCTTGAGAATAAAGTGCCCTTTAGTCAATTTTTGAAGTAAGCGAACTTCTTAAGGGCATTTTCTCTCTCTCTCTCTCTCTCTCTCTATATATATATATGACATGCATAATTCTAACTATAACATCTCTTCTCGCCTTGAAAATAATGTGTTATCCTTTAGTCTATTTATCTATCTATCTCTCTGACATGCATAAATATGATTCTAATTATAATACCCAGATCACAAATACAATATCATAGTCGAGAGATTGGGAAATTGAACATACTTTCCTTCTCTGTGCTTTGGGCTAGGGCGAGAATACTTCAGATATCCATCCCAAGGAACCTTTTTAAGCCCAGCACGAATTGAGATTATGTCTCTCACCCTACACCATTGAAATAATACATAACATTTCAATGCCTTGAAAAATGTAGACATTTACGCACATGCTACCACATACTGCATATTCCATAAAATCTGAAACTAAGATCTTTTACCTTTCTGCAAATTCAATGGGTGTCTCTCCTGGCTTCAGATTTTGTGGCTCCAAGTACCAAACATCGCAAACTACAGCCCAAGATGTCATTAATTGCAATAGATGAGTAGTGAATGATTGCCTGCAAAAATATAAGATGCAGCAACTCTTATACAGCAATACAAGAAAAAAGTAAATGAATAAAAACATAAATAATTAATAACATGTAACAAGCCTCTTCTTACTTTCGACTATTCCAAAAAGCATCGACGAAAATTTTATTGTACTTGATTGCAACTGGGCAAACTGTGCAGCCAAGTTCAAATGCACCCTAAACATCATTAAAATTACAAGAGGCTTCAATTAAAACTTTCAGACGACAGAAATTAGAATACAAGTAAACAGGGGGAAAATTAAAGAGGAAAAGGAAAGCATAATGTATGAGCAAAAGTGTAAAACTCGGCATTTCCCATTTAATGCAATTGCAAATGATCCAATACCTTCTTGAACATGACAGTGTAGTGATTATTTACACAAGTTCCTTCAGGAAATATAAGAAGAGGGTTATTGTTGGCTCCCTGAACATGATTCCTTAATCTGAAATATGAAAAGTCATGTAAGAATAAGATTTGAGGTATATACTTCCCAACATTTTCAATTATACTTACTTCCTTGCCACAATTTCTCGATCCTTTGCCTCTGAACGATTGAACCAGATACACCCTACACTCTCCAAAATGGTGCTCTGCAATAATCCTGTGAATGAAATGAAGAAATGCATCAGCTATCAGGCATAGTATGTGATTGTAAAGTGCCCCTCAAACTTTAAGGAAAATAGAGCTGGATGAGAGTAGACATGCAAGAAAAAAATAGTTTAGGAACAAATGTACTATAATAGAAAGATCAAAGATGTAGTAGCGCCTATTGAGGAGAGGTGACAAAAACTGCTCTAGCATAATTAATTTGGCTGTGATGAGAAGATCAAAGGATGCCCTAGTGTGAAAAGTAGATGGAATGGAAGATAATCTGGTTATAAGTGGATCCATCATCCATGTACATATAGCTGACCCCACCTAGGGCCTGTTTGTTCAAACTTGTAAAAGAAAATGATTTTAAGATTTTGTGTTGATAAGTGCAGGACCAAAAAGAAAAAAAGATTGTGTAAAAAGATGATTTATTATTTAGAGATTTTATATAAAGCAGATTTTTTTTTTGTTTGGCTATATTATAAAAACCACTTTTAATTCAAAAGGTAGTACAATTTCAGTTTTTCTAGAAATTACTCAAAATAATGAAAAATATTTTTCTTTTCAGTGTGACTTAAATATACTAAAAAAATTTGATTTTTTTTTTCAAAATAAAAGTATGTTTTCATTAAAAAGTTGCAACAAACAGACTCCTAGTATAACAAGGCTTGGTTATACTAATTCTTGAAAACCAAATTACCCAGATATGGCAAGCCACATGCAAATAAACAATTATACATTAAAAACAAACTTTCTTGTATATTATGCACATTATTCACATTCTCCGCTTTGAAAACAAATTTTCATTACAACAGGAGTTTTAAAATATACAGGAGATATCTCAGAAGAAGTGTGGAATTGTGTCAGCACAATTATTCTCAAAAATTTATTCACCCAGATATGCTATGTCACAAGAAAATATAGATTAAAAAATTTTGTTGATGATATAGACAAGGTTTGTTGTGTATTTAAAGCAAACACAACAGCCCTATACACTTACCAACCCATCCAGGATGCTTCTGCATAATAACAGCAAATGCAGTCATCTGTTCTAAGATAATGAAATCAATCATGGAAGTATGATTGGCCACAAAAACCTGTTCAATAAAGGGAAATCCAGATTTAATAAATACATTCACATTTTTTATGAAAATGTGAATAAGAACATGGAAACATCAATATACATCAGACAAACCTGTCGTGGTCGCATACAAGGCCTTGGCCCATGGTAATTGACAACCCCGGTCCAGGATGCAACAAAGAAACTGCAAATCATCTCCACCAAACACCTCTGAAAGAAATGAAAATTGAGCAATTTAGAGGACATTGATTTGATACGCAGCAAGTCAGTACATTGGAGTTGCTATCCATCCAACGGAATGAAAATAAAGAGTAAATTAGAAGTTGTATACATCGTATGCCATGCACTAAGCTGCATACAGCATGTCAATCAAGTAAGTAGATATTTAAAAAATGAAGGGAAAAACAAATTATGTCCTCCTGTGAATTGGCCAAAATCTGTTGCATTCACGTAAAATAACAGCTTTTATCCACATGTATTTTTATTTTTCAACAACTACAGAATCTTCAGTTGTCTAAATTAGCCATTCAAAAAAGCTGGTATTTTTATTAGTACTCTTATAAATTATTTTCCACTCAGTACCAGTAAGACAACTGAGAACCAGGAGTTCATTTTGCATTTTAAGATAATATAACTCAGAAAGTTGACGCTTTTCTCTTTTACTTTTTAAGGACTTAGTAAGTTTGAACTTCCAAGATGTCTTAAAATTTCAAGCTATCAGACATTAAATGCTACTTTCCTAGTGCGCAAAACCGAGAAACATAACTCTATGTTGAAATTGTTTAAATGGGACAAAATGGAAAACCAAGAATAAGCTGAATAGATACCTCAATCTTTCGCCTCATATCATCATTTCCTTTCAGGAGGAAGTTCACAGGAATGAAGGATGAAAGAAATATAATCCAACCTAATGTCAATACTAGTACCCTGCAGAGTCAGATAAGACACATTTCATGTCCAGAAAAAGATTACAGTAAAGTAAGACATTAACATGAGAAGCATAAAAGATAGACTAATAGGCCAAACACAAACTTTACATCTGAAATTGCAAAATTTGAAAAAAATTCATTTGATTTATTAATGAATACGTTGCATGGATATAAGTACCATACCAAGTATAGGTACAGGTACGGGATGAGATTTTTCAAAAATCTAAGGTACAGGTATGTTAATGTAAATCTTAAAAAATGTACATAAATTAAAAGAATTATATATAAACACGATTAAATTGTATAAATAATAAAGAAACACAAATAAGCCTAATTTACAACATAAAAGGAGTTAAATTCTTCAAAACGGCAAAAAAAACTCATAAGAAAAAACTACAACATGTAAATGTTCATCAATCAATATTATAGGCCCTAAATATGACCATGATATCACACTTTAACAATTTCAATCTCATAATTTTTTTTATCAACCAATATTATGAAAAGAATCATCTCTAAATTTTGTTCATCAAGAGAAAGAGTAACAACTTCAAGAAAGCCAATCTTTAAAATGAATGTCATTCATCTTCAAATGATTCACAATGATTGATTTGGAATGAGTTATACATGGTACTCAATATGATTTTAAGTGGTCAAGAACAAAGAGTCTCTTATGCCATACACAAGTAAGGACACACATACACAACAATAACATGAATGATAGCAAGTAAATCAAAGGAATTTTTTTTTCATTCACTAATGGACAATGCTTTATTTATTAGACTAGGGGTTCGAGCTTGATATGTACCCATAAGTACCCAACTTTTATTGTTGGAAAATGCTTTTGGTAAGTATCCAAAGTGTACCAGGCACAGCAGGTATGAGTATGTACCTGGTATGTGTACGACATGATTTTAGGAGTACCCATGCTTCAATTATGAAATTCTTTGTTCAAAGGGAATTCCTTTGATTTTGAAATCTGTCATTTATGTTGAGCATATACAATGTAAAAATTTGCTCAAATTTGGTGGGATGTGATTTATTTTAGTTTTAATTATTTAAATTGACAAAATTGCCCTTATTATACTTTGAGAGAGAAATCATATAATTTAAGGCTAAAAAAGTAAAATTACCAAAACAAAATTCAAGAAAAAGGAAATCAAATTCGTTCAATTTTTTATTGATTCCAAATGCAAGAAAAAGGAAATTAAATTTAATTAAAATTAAAGTTCAAATTATATACTAACAACATTTTTCTAAAATGCTGTCAATCTTGATGCATATGTCTAACAGAAAATGTAGTATTGAAAATTAGCTAGGCAAACTTTATGACTGAATGATTTCAGAACTACTATTGCATCATGAATTATATGCAAGTATATATAGAAAAGGAATAAGCTAACCTAAAAGGGAACAAAATCAAATATCGAATTACAACTCCACAGCACCACAAAGGAAGCAAATAAACATTCCAGTTCCAAGGTTCAGGAGGATTTGACTTGAAGCATCTTGTGAATGAATCCTATCCAACATAAAATTCAGAGTCAGTGAACAAAATCGGAGAAATATTTAAAGAAAAAGATGATTTGTCTAATAGCTCCAGGTTTGCATGTAGAATCTGAGATAGAGATTTTAAATATATTCTATTCATAGGGAAATCATCATGAGAACTCCACAGAAATATTGAAGAGATAAAGACAGAACAGTTCCTCTCTGCTGCATTGGCTAGGGATTGAATATTAAGGGTTTGGTGTGAAATCACTGATCATACTCAAAGGATTGTGGGATCTGCAGTTTTTAGTGTTCTAAATCTGTTTGATGCAGCTGAGTTCGTGGGATGGTTTTGTGACGTAGGCTGAGAGGGCTGCAAAAAAAAAAAAAAAAAAAACCTTATCTTCGCATTCCCTCACTTGTGCACTACCCTCTTCCTATTCTCATTCTTTGCACTCTCTATGCTATCCTGCTCTCTCATTTTCTGTTTTCTCTGGCATCTGCATTCTGCCATCTGCCTTCATTGACCAACATCTGTGTTCTGGTCTCTATTTCTCTGTTCTCTGTATTCTGCCTTCAGTGGTTGAGCAAAAAAATGTCTTCAAGTACTAGTGCTTGTGGGGCTGGTGGAAACTGACTATAGTAATGAGACTTTTGCTAGTGGAATGTTCTCTCTTCCAATTTTATTTTGTGTTATAGAAAACATAAGTGACTTATGAGTTGTATGAGACCTTACAATTATGAATTTCCAATTTTAGTTGAAGGTTGTGATTGTTATTTTTGTTACTATATTATTTTCTATGCGTATGTACATGAAGTAAACTTTTACATTTTCAGTATGATCTTACTATCATGTTATGATCTTTTGTTTTATGATCTTCCATCCCCTTCCCGATCCTAGGTATGATTTCAATTTTAACATTAAAAGACAGTCTATCATGGCAAGTTAATATTTAGTTTTAGAAAAGGCTGAATTCTTCGATGTTTGACGTTGAATTCTCTCTGTAACAATTTCTTCACCAGTGTTTTCCTAAAATATAGTTGTTCATACAGTGAAACCATAAAGCAGAATAACTGCAAATAAATGCAAGGTCAAAATCTCACATCTACAATGGCACCTGCTGCCTCAAATAGACTAGGAGAAATGTCGAGCAAATCACACCTGAAATATAGAAGTTGTAAATCTGGAAATTGCACTGCCAGGAGATTTTGGAAAAAAAGCGGGGGGGTGGGGGGAACATTTATAAGGACAACTTCTTTTAATCTCCATTCCATTCCTCAATTAGATAACGCAAATAAAAAACTACTCCCTCTTTAATGCACCCTATTTTTCAGCATCTAAACAACAGTAAAATCAAGACATGGAAATGTAAATAGAGGAGGCACATATACAGGCGGAGCTTGCCAAGCCGTTCTTGCTGAACACTGGATCCAGAAGGAAGGTAATCTTCAATGTTGGGCCGATCAAGGTCCAATTCAGAACTTGACAATTTGAGTTTCCCAGTGTTATTCATCTCTGCTACGCTTCCACCACAACCAGAAAACAAGTGGCTAAGCTAGACTTTCCTGATCCTGAAACATGCACGAGCCTCCATTCAATGCAATAAATAAAGCCAGTGAAAAATGAACCGCTTCAATTATATCTTTATAAAGAGATAACAAATATCACCATTTGTTGCAGCAATTAATTGTAATATCTAATCTCCTCAGATTTGCTTCCATGCAATGAGAGAAAAATAGAAAACCCTAATGCTCCTTTGCCTAACAAGCGAATAATCTACAAAGCATAAATGAAAGAAAGTAAGAGATCGCATTGGGAGGAAAGCCCGAGAAGGAGAAAAGCGATGAAGAGGAGGAGCTCACCAACGAGGAATAGAAAGGGGACTGAGGTAACGATGAGCGATTGATTGCATGGGAGGTTGCAGAAACCAACTCTAACCAGAAGAAAGAGCGGAATGAGGCAACGAAGGTGTCACCACTGTAATTTCTTAAATCGGTGGAGGGTAGTTTTGTCTTAATCAAACACGAATTCGTCAGAGTCGTTGGGAACATGCCTACCGCGCGCGCGAAATGTTTCTTGAGTGGTTCACTGGTTCCTCCCTTTTTCACCGGTCAAGTAAAACAAAAGGAAAATATTTTATCAACTATTCCATCTATATTTACTTAATTTAACATTTTACTTTTTATAATTTAAATATATATTTTTTAGTTCTTATATTTATACATATATTTTTTAATTCTATTTAGTCTGTATAAGTATTTTTTTATAATTTTATTTTTGTGTAAATAACAAGAATTTATTAAATTCACGTGATAATGATGTATTTAATTTTTTAGATGACAATTTATTATTTATTGATTTATTGTGTAATTATCTATCATTTTATTGCTCATATGGACCACATATTAATTATAATAAATATTGGTTATTCACGACTTTTCATTTTTTTTCCATCGTTAAGTGACATATTATTATCTAAAAATCAAAATACATGACTTACAGGTAATTTTGAAAGTCTACATCATGTGAGAAAAATCTTTAGAAATTAATAGGATTAAAAAAATGTAACTATAGGAATTAAAAGGTCTATTTTAAAATGTAAAATAACTATAAAAATTAAAAAAAATATTTTGATCACAAATAAATATTTCCTTGAAACACCTCTAAATAATATTATATCTTTATTTTTATATCTTTATATTTTTTAAGTTATTAAATATTCTAAGGAACTCTTTGCTTCATCCATGTCTAATGCCATTTAGTTTGTTCTTGGAAAATATGAGGTAAAAAAACCCTTAGACTCTTACACTTGGCATGGTAAAGCTCATGTTTGACCCATTTCAGGCATAATGTCTCTACTTGCCTCACGTCTGACATCACTCTATTGGTGTTCGATGTCAACCAAGGCAGAAATAATTCTTACTCTTCACAATTTATGCTACCAATCTTGTACTCAAAGCGAGTGAGATAAATGGCCCCTAACTTGAGTCACGTTCAACATGATAGTGAAATCTGCACATAGCAGATTCATGGATTGACTCTCCCTTTACTTGAAAATCAAGAAATCCAAGATGCATTACAACAATCCATACATATACAACATCAACAACTTGAATCCACTTAGAATAACAATATGCAACAATGAATGAAATTAAATCATGCATTTCATCTCAACCATACCACAAGAATACCAAAGCTTCCAAAAACAACTATACACAATCTCCAACTTCAAATTCATCAACACAACCATGAATCTAAAGAATTCAAAACAAATACAGCTCAATGAATGAACAACAAATCAATTCTAACTTCCCTTATCTCAAAATTTCAAGAGGAAGAGAAAAGAAAAAAGATGAAGAACTTTGAGCTATCATCGAAAAAACTCTACACTAACTTTGATTCTCAGCTTTAACAACTTTGAATCACCAACCAAACACTCGATTGCGATTTTCTATGCACTTAAGAAGGCTAGAAAAAAAAAAGGAAAATTTAGAGTTTAAAAACCTCTCTCTTTAATTTTATGTCTCTAAAATTCTTAAGAATGAATTATAAAACTCAATTCTTAAAAAAAATCTTATATATCTCTTTCTTAGGGTCAAATTATACCTAGAGAAACCATTTAATCACCTAAAACTCCTCAAAAATTCTTTAACTTCTAATTTATAAAGTTCTTCAATATGAAAGACAAATCACCTCAACCATTAATTATTACAATAAACAACAATAATTAAGAAAATGTACACTACTTACAATTGTATAACTTTTATTTATTTTTTAAATAAATAGCATAGATGATCTCTTTTCTCATTTCTCATAGTATATAATAAGATTATTAATTTTTAATAGTTATTTTGGTATGAGTGGATCTATCTCCCACGAAGCTCCAGAAAGACTTGATCACAATTCTTGTAAATCTCTCCATTCAAAGTGACAACGTGAGAGCGCTTGTAGGCGATGAAAAGATGAGTCCTCACTTCCCTGCTTATTGATGCATTGAAATCAGGAACCATACGAACGAGAAGCAACTTTGTTGTTTCCTTGTCATTTCCCGATGTCATACTCTTGTTAAATTGGCAACGCGTTTTCCACATATAACCAAGAATGTCTTTTATCAATGCTTTTTTAATTTGACCATCCAGATCGATCGAGGTTTTCGGTACACGACTGCACGCCACGGTTGATCAGTCATGTAAAAAGTTGACCAAAAATAGCTCATTTATTTTTATGAATCAAACTTCAAATTTGATTATCGTAAATAAATAATGATTACACAATAAAATATAAATAAAAAAAAACAGTGATCTTAGCCTATTGATAAAATTGTAGCCCATTTTGTTACGAGTTATTATTTATTAACCTCTACGCTGATCATTTGAAATTCCTGATCATCTATAAAATATAAAACTCACAAGTGATTGATTGTGTATTTTTTTTTTATAATTTAAAATGTTTTCCTTTTCCAATTTAACTCTTTAAATCCCATTTTATGTTTCTAAGAGAAGAAATGAAAATGCAAATAGGAAGAGGGATATAATAGGACAAGGGTAGGCAGCAATGACTAATTAAGAATGGTATTTTGCACGTATTCTACGAAACACCCTCTCACGTTATTGAATAACGAGGGCAGTTTTCCCTATAAATGAACACATTACAGTCACAGATAATAAAAGAATCGACAGCAAAGTGAAGAAGTGTTAGTTAGCAAGTTGGCACAATGGCTTTCAATTTGGACAGCTACATTACCATGAAGAAGGAACTTCAAAAAGCTTCATGCTGGTGGACACCGTCACCCCCACGGAAATCCAAAGCCACTGGGACGCGATCTATTAGGGCCCCTAAAGCTGATATTGTTAAACCCCAATCTAATACCATTGCCTCTGGGACTAACCCCAAATGATTTCATACATCATTATTTCATGATCACAGGTGATTATATATAATTGCTACCTTAATTTATAATTATATATATATATATATACATGCTTGCTTATTGTATTAAATTCCTATCTTGCAGATGCTTTATCTAAAGTTGTGCAAGGAAGCAAGTACGTGTACATTGTACTACAGGGATGTCAGGAGTTTGGGAGTTTTTCTTTTTCTTGTTTGGCTCTTTCAATTGTATCTTTTGTTTAAGGTTCGGATGAGGCACAACCGGTGCTGCTTCCCCTTTGTTGAGAATATGTTTAAATATTTTTAAAAGAATAAATTAATTTTAATAAAAATCTTTTATTTATATCGTTATGTTTCATTCTGAATATTATATGTATACTTTATGCGGTTTCAGATATCTACAGTTTTCTTTTGCATGAGTTTGAATCAACCATATAAAATAACCAATTTACAGAAAAGTTAAATCTGCGGTCCTGAGTCTTCTTAATTCTCAATTGAGCAGGTAAAAGAATTCATTCTTTTAAAACTCTGTTTTTCTTGCATTTACAGCTTAAGTTTTTGTTAAGTAGTTCATAAATTTCATGTTTGAATCTGTCTTTTCTTTTTATTGCTCCATTACACAACAAGTGCATTATAAAGTGGAAATGAGAAGTGGGTATGGTCCATTATGAGTATGACCAATTGACCATTATGAGGGCTTTGGACTATGATGAGTTTTGTAAAACACTAACAAACAAAAAAGAAACTAATAAAAAATAAATAAATAAGAGTAGCCACATATTGCCAGCTCATGGAAATTGACCATTCCCTGGTCCACACACACATGCATTTGGAGCATATGTCTTATGCCATGAATATGATGAGCCAAAGTGTACATGCCCTTGCCCTTGGCATGTCATGAGAGTCTCGAAATAAAACTACCCTAATCATGTTTACCAATTTTTCAATGTTAGTGAGTTAAATATTATAATGTATTTTGAATTAAGTATAAATACGTATACTTTATCATCTTTTTTAATGAAAAAACAACTTTATAATAATGTCATCTATCCTCTTAGCTGGTAAATTTTACATATGTTTTTTTTAAGAAAAAAAACAAATATTTTTTTTTTCATTCATTAAATAGTAAGTTCAGTTTTGTATTGAACTCCAAGCGTATGGTTCAGCGGTAAGGATTGCTTAATCAAGGTCAGGGGTTCGAATCCTGTCTTGTGTATGCAGCCGCGTTAAATTTTTGGGCCAGTTATCCCACCCTTTGAGGTGCCTCCAACGTAGCGAGGAGATTAGTCACTATTATCGGCAGTGGATATTCTAGAAACAAAAAAAAAAGTTATTTTTATATTTTGCGTTCATTTTATACATTGGTTTTAAAAATTTATAAAATTTTTAAAAAATTTAAAAATAAATTAATAAAACTTAATATAAAATATAAATTATTAGATAAAATAAATCTAAATAAGCTTAATATTAAAATAAATACATCATTTCTCATAAATAATTATATAACTAAGAAAATGTTTATTAGTCTTTAATTTTGACCAGGTTGAGGTTTTTGGTACACGGTGCATCAATCATTTAAAAAGTTGTAGCTCATTTATTTCAAAAGTCATTTACATAATGATGGCACAATAAAACATAAAAATATTATGACCTTGACTGTAAACTAAACACTTATAATTGAGTCTCATATTAAGAATTTAACTCACCTAATAAGTATTATAAACTCTTTTAATATTTTTTAATTTTTACAAATAAAAGAATAATTATATTTCATACCTTGTATTAAAGACGAGAGAGTTTATTCGACATGAATTTTGTATGTACAACTAAGAAAATTATATATATAGAGAGAGGAGAGAGTATTTAAATTTATCTATATTTACTTTATTTAATAATTAATATTTTATAACAAATTTTAATAATTTAATTATTAAATTTAAATTTTTTAACGTAAATCAAAACTTGCAAGTTTTTAAAAGAATTTAAAATTATTTAATATTTTATTTTATTAATTCAAATTATTGCATAAAATATCTTTATAATTATTTATTAATTTGAATTAATAAATTAGAACATCAAATAATTTTTAAATCTATTAAAAATTTACAGACATAATCAATATATGAAAAACTCTTAATTCAATAGTTAAATTATTTAAATTCAGTATAAGATATTAAGTAAAAATAAGTTTAAGTAGATAAATTACTTCATATATATATAAATATTATCCTATTTCCTTCATATATATATATATATATATATATATA